CCCTACACCCTAAACCCTACACCTTCAGAATCTGTAAGCCCCAGAGGACGGTGTCCGAGTGCCCAGCGGGAGCCGACCTCAAGGTCCGGTGCTTTAGGGGCCTAAATTAATAATTACCACGGTTTAGGGTTTAGGGTTTAGGGTTTAGGGTTTAGGGTTTAAGGGTTTAGGGTTTAGGTTCCTTGTTATGAATATACCATAAAGGCCCTTTTTGCTAATTATTAAGGCTCCTATATTGGGCTGCAGGGACCGCGTTTAGGGTTTAGGGTTTTGGGGGTTTTGTGTTTAAGGTTTCGGGGTTTAGGGATGTTCAGGGTTTAGGGTTTGGGGGTTTAGTGTGTGTGTACAGTGTGCGTGCGATGGGTGCGCCTTTTACTTAGGCATGGGGGCCCACCGACTATAATCGCGCGCGCGCGCGCGTGCGCGCGCGCATCAGCATGTAGTCCCGCCCCTACCACCCCAACTATCCTCCCCAAAACCCTAAACCCTAAACCGCAACTATCTTCAATTAGGGTTTAGGGCTCATCCCCCAAAACCCCCCTCCCTTGGTGTCGGGATGTGGGTCGCTCGCTGAACGCCGAAGCATTGGGAGGAGACCCGGAGTCTCCCGGTACCCCCCCCGACACTTAGGGTTTAGGGACAGGGTTTAGGGTTTAGGGTTTAGGGTTTAGGGTTTCCCCCAAGCAGACCCAAGACCCCTCCTAAGGGTCCATGTACCGAAATAGTATAGACTTGGGCCTTAAAGCCGTCCCTATATAGGTACTTTGGGGCCAAAGTATACACTACGTGGGACCCTTTGGGCCATGGTCGTGAGTTTGGGGTCCTTCTTTATTGCCTGACTCACCGTTCTGACGAGACGCTCAGCCGGGGCCTGTCGCGGCCGTTTAGGGTTAAGTTTCGGGTTTAAGGGTTTAGGGTTTAGGGTCCCTGCAGACCCTACCTTTTAGGGTTATTCCGGCTTCATAGTCGCGCAATGATACCTCTAGGTCTTCCAGGGTCCAGCTATAAGTATTAGACCATGTCAGCGTTCAGAGTCTTATGGGGCTCTCAGTACATCAGAAGTTGCGTTGGCAGAGATTTGCGCAATTTCTACTATTCTTATAGACATGTGCAGGCGACAGCCAACATAACATATTAAATTTTGATTCTCTTCATATACTCACTTGTGCACACTACATGTTTCTCCAGGCTTCCAAGCAAATGGAATCATCATGTACTTTCCCAAATATTACCCTGCGTTACTACCCTAAACCCAGGTATCTGACGATACGAACCTGCAGTACCACTACGCCATTGTTACTACGCCGAAACAAGGTAGCTTCATTCAATATACGAACTTACTGTTCTACCCTACATCCGTATCAAACCAGGCAGCTTATTAAGGGGTTCTTGGGACTGCTATCACCAAACTTAACTTAGCGCGACATGGTCCTCCCCTTACAGAAGCCATCGCAAATCCGTAGCAGGACGTCTCAAACTCTTGGCCTACCCTACCCTCGGTGCTTTGGATCTATGGGGCTCGGAACATGCACTCAAACCCTAAACCCCAAATCCTAAACCCGTTGTCTATGCCCCCTTTCGCCTGTTTTACATGATTCTGACAATCGTTGTCTACATTGCTGTCGCTGAGGGTTGGTTCTTTCACCTAGTGCAGTCCCGGCTGGGGCAGGATGGCTGCGTGAGCGACAGTCCGTTCCACTGCACTTAAAAAAACCCTAAACCCTAAACCCCAACCCAAGAACCCCAAACCCTGTGAATCCTTAGGGCTCGGACCAGGCACTCTGCGCAGCAGATGCAGTAATCGCGATCGGCGCCATCACAGCTCTCGTTCAGATGCCTGGCCATGTTCGGTACCCTGCTAATGCCTACCTGCAGCCGAACAGACGATTACCTTTTAGGGTTCCTTGTTGATTTTTCTATATGTTGTTCCTTAATACTGAATTTATTCAGGCTTTCAACCCAATCATAATCGACAATTTCGAGGCCCCCAGAGAGTCACATCCTCGATTTTGGAGAAGCTTTCCCGTAACTTCCATATAAGGCGGAGTACTTGTGAATACTTCTTTACATAAATAGTATGATATCTATGGAGGGTTCCTTCTTGTAGTGTGCAATATATGTATATATATATATATATACATACATACATACATATGTTCATATATTAATTTTGCATGTTTATAATCTACACCCAAAGCCGTTTAGTTATGAAGGCAAATAAGGCTCCTACGT